CGTCTGTCGTCTCTTGTCTCACGCTGTTGTCGCTTCTACTTATTGTTTAGTAGAGCGTTCGCTGTGCGTGTGTGTGTGTGTGTGTGTCGGGGGGGGGGGGGTTGGTGCAGTGCGTCCCACATGACCGTCATGTAGTATATCTTCTGCACTGCATTACACACCGTTGTTGGACAAGAAAAGGAAAAAGGGCGTGATTGATGGCAACTTCTTCTTCGATTTTTTGTTTGTTTCTTGGCTTTTTCTTTATGTTTCTCATCTCGTTGCCTTCTCAGTACTCCTTCTATTAACTGTTGTTGCTGTGTACGTCACACGGCGTGTCAGTGATGTACACACGAAAGGTTCGCTGTGGCGTGTGTCACCGGCACTGCCGCTAAATGATTATATGCGTGTGTGTGTTGAAGTACGTCTCCTCGGGCTGTAGCAATGTTTGTTTCGCCCCTGCTCTCCGTTTTTTTTTTTGGTTCGGTGTTGTCTCTCCTTCTTCTCGGCTCCAACGCATGTGAATTTTGTTTTGGATTTCCCTGCTGCCGAGTTCCTGCCTTCCCTCCCCCCCCCCTTCTTTCCTCTTCTCTTTTCCTTTTTTTAAAGTTTTCTCGGTTTCAGCTTTGTGATCTGTTCAGTCTGATTTTGTTGTTTGCTGTTTTTTGAATACTGTTTTGGCGCAGTTGTGCTGCCCAGTTGGAGGAGCGACGTCAGCCCCAGCCAACCCAGTAATTCCCCAAAACCCCAAAAACTCACGTCTAGTAATAATAATAATGAAAGACGAACCTGCGGTGGAGTGTTGTTGTTTCAGTTTTGCTCCTTAGAAAAGGGCGAAAAAATGTGCATCTTCGCAAAGACGGCAAACAAAACGTCTTCACGGTGTTGCTGCACTTCGCATTTGATGTTGTATGTCGTCACTAGGCATCATGGTTTTTGTTTTTGGAGAGCATTCACGTCTGCGCACACCCGATTGGCGATAAATGGTGTTCCTCGACCTAAATTTGTACTCTTCTCTTTCACCCCTCTCTCTCTCTTGCTGTTCTTGATGTTTTCTCTCCTTCGCTCTCTACTTGCGTAGGACTTATTTGGTGTCTACTCCATCTCTTCTACTTGTTATATATATATATATATTAAAAAGAAAACTGACACCTCTTTTGATTTTGTTTTCCTCTCCCCCGCAACGCCGGTATCTTCTGCATTTCCGCAACGCACCTCCTGTTAGAACACCCCCTTCCTTTGTTGTTGTATTCCTTTTTTCTCCATTGTTGTCGTGGAATCGTATTTGCGCCGTGGCCGCATCGACGGTGATACATCTGTGGAGGTCAGCGTCGTCGCTTTGTGTTTTGATTTGTTTTTCACTTCTGTTTTTTTTTCTTCTTCTTTCGAGTAACTCTGCTACTGCGCGTATCAACGGTTTCCGCTGGGTGCTTTTCCTCCGCCGTATTTTTCTTTCTGCCCTTCTCGCTTGTGTCTGTGTGTCTGTGTGTGTGTGTGTGTGTGTGTGTGATATCTGTCGTTTGTCGCAGTGTGTGAGTCAGCACCAGCGCACACGCCACGATACTCATATATACACTCCTTGTTGTTTGATTTCTCTCCTCCTTTTCTGGAAATGAATGCCGATCTCCACGTCAGCGTTAGCGACGATGAGGAGGGGGGAGAGAACGGCACCGGCGGCACGTCCACCCCGGCACCCGCGAACCAGCTCACCACCGCAACCACGACCACGACCGACTTCCCCCCGCGTGCGAACTCCGTCTACGTCGCCTACCCTCGCCCAGCTATCCAAATCAACGGTGTCAGCACCACCACCCTCATGCCCTCCACCGTCGGTCGTCACAACGGCTTTCTGCGCACCTACAAGGTACTGCTCGTCGGAGAAGCTGGCGTGGGCAAGTCCAACCTAATGCACCGTTACTGCTACAATCAGTACGACCCGACGCTGCCCTCCACCCTCGGCGCGGAGTTCTGCTCCCGTGAGGTGGACATCCCATCTGGTCCGGTCGGGGCCACCGAGAGCGTCGTCCTGCAGCTGTGGGACACGGCAGGGCAGGAGCGGAACGCCGGCGTCATCAGCAACGCTTTCTACCGCAACGCAGTAGGCGCCATCGTCGTGTACGACGTCGCGCGCCGCGAGACGCTGCTCAACGTGCCGCGGTGGGTTGCCCGCGTGACGGAGCTGGCACGTGAAGAGTGCGTGTGTGTCGTGGTGGGTGCGAAGCTCGACCTGCTCACGGCGCCGCACGGCACGCCGATGGCGAAGGCAGAATTGGAAGCTCTGCAGCAGGAGGCAGATGGCATCTCCCACGCGCTCGGCATGCGTAACTTCCTCACCTCTGCCCTGACCGGTGAAGGGGTACTGGAGGCGTTCACGCACCTTGTGCTGGCGGTGGACGCGGTGCAGGCGGCTCCGCCAGAGGCGCGTCGTCATCCTCAGCATTATCACACGCCAGTGCAGAGCACCGTCGGAGATGGTAACAGCAACAATAATAATACTAGTAGTAACTTGCCGGAGATGTGGACCGCCGCCTCGACCGTGCCCGCGTCGCCAGTCACGCTTTTCGGCAGTCACGCGGCACATCGCCGCGGGTGCGAGGAGCCGGGTTGCGCGGTGTCGGTCGCGCAGAACTCGCCAGAGATTATGCCGTCGTCCGCCGCGTCGGGGTATACCTCGCCCGGCTCGGTTGGCCGAGCACTGCAGTTGGGGTCACCGTCTTCGTCGCCGGTCAAGCCGAATAAGAAGAAGTCGCTGGACCTACGCGGTTTTGGTCCTGTGGAAGGCGGCAGTGCCACGGGGCCTACTAGCGGCGGTGGTGGTGCAAGTGAGTCGTCGTGGGGGTGTTGATCTCTGCGATAAAGCGGGAGTAAGAGGGAAACGAAAGGGAGGGAGAAGTGTGGTGTTGTTGTTTGTGGGGGTTTACGCTGGTTTGTTTGTCCGGCACTGCTACGCTCAAAAAACGATATATATATATATATATATATGACGAACACGCATGTTATGTGCGAGCCCTCAACATGCAAATGAAGATGGTTCTCATCGAGGGAAACAATACTCAGAAGGGGTGACTTCCGAATAGGAGCCGCGCTGCGGGCTATCTGACGGAGCTGAAGACGCGTCGCTTCACTCCTTTTACACTTTTTTTTACTGATATTTTGTTTCTTCTGCATCTGTCTCTACGTACTCATCCTCGCTGACGTCACCGCGTGCCACCCTCAGCGTCAACCACTCACGGCGGCGCTTCACTTTTGCCGTAATTGGAGGTTCCGAAAACAACAAAGAGAGCATAGGCGTTGTTCCTTTACGCAGGTGCGCATTCAGCTGATTGAAGTTGCAGCACTCATATATATATATACATATGTTGGCGAGCCTGACTTTCGTTTTTTAATTCTCTAATCACACACACACACAAGGAGTAACTCACTGTTAGCCATGTCGCAGCGTGTAACGCCCTTAACGCGTAATCAGCTGCTCGAGCTGGAAGCGCTCATGCGCGGCCTCATCACAGTCGTGACACAGCAGCAGCAGCAGCAGCAGCAACACCATCATCTTCACACCTCCAACACCTCCGTCTCCGCTGGCGATCAAAGCTGGCCCTCCAGCGCATCATCGACGCCGGCCTCTCTCACCGCTACCGCTGCCGTCTCCGCCTTCGCTGGTCCCGCGAGCTCCACCTCGATGGCGGCCGCAGGGTGCGTCGACGGCCCACCCGCACACGCCACGGCGGTGTCGCACGCTTTCTGCGTCGATCACGCGGTTCTGCGCGGCACCTTCATGGACGTCTTCACGGATCCCCTCACGGCCACCGCGTGGCGGCTCTACGACAAGATGCTGTACGTCGTTTGGTGGTCCTTCCGCCCCCCGTCGTGCGCGAACTGCGGAATGCAAGACGCGTGGGTGCCCTCCGGCGACGTGGAGTTCAAATGCGCGTTCTGCCTCGCCGGTGCCGGCACGACGCGCAGCAACGCCGTCGTGAAGGACGAAGCGGCCGCGAATGAAGAGGCTGAGTACGGGAGTGACAGCGGCGAGGAGGACGAGATGGAGGAAAAGGAGAAGGGGAACGGAGGAGACGGCGGTGGAGGCGGCGGGTCCGGTGGTCCGGGTGGGGGGCCCATTGACACGTATCTCTTCTTTTACGAGTGGTTGCAACGCATCCCGGTGCTGGGTCCTGCCGGGGCGTACAGCACGCACAACGGAGTCGATTCTGGTGCGCACGACGCTGGCAGTCCACAGCGGCCGTCCGCGACGGGTAGAATGAACGCCGCACCATCGTCCTCGTCGTTGTCGGTTGGGGCGAACTACACAGGCGGGGGAGGGGGTCGGTCCGCACCTGTGGCGCCTGGGTCCGCCGTCCCGCTTGCTAGCGGCGGCAGCAGCAACAGCAGCAGCGTCCTGCTTCCCAGCGGGGAGGCGCTGCCGGCCGTGCTGCGGGCTGCGTACGACATGAGTTGCTTGTTGACCGCGCCAGGTCTTCCGCGTGGCACCGCACCGGTAGTTCGTGCGGCGGGGCTCTACTTGAGCCTCCTGCTGCATCGGTATGTCTCGCTGTTCCCCCTGTTCTGCGTTGCGGGGCGCGCATCCTCGACGGAGGCGAAGGAAAATGCCGCGACGAGTGCGCCGCCGTCACCGCGCGCCGATGGGCAGCTGGCGGAGGTAGAGCTGCAGTGGATCGACGTGGAGCTCGTCTGCGCCCTGCTCGGCGTCTCTGCCCCGTCGTTTTTTGAGTCGACCGCCGTCTCCGTCCAGCACCTGCAGAACGTCTTCACGGTCGCGGCGGGCTACGGGGTGCCGAGCGTGCTGTGGCACCCCGGACGAGCCCCGGGCCGGGTGGAGGTGATGAAGACGCTGAAGGACAAAGTGATCCCCCTCTGCCCTTTGCATTCCACCACCGCCGGGGTCTCCGGACTCTGCCCCGAGCACACCGCGATGATCGTCGCGCTGGAGTTTGCCAGGCGGGTCGACGCGCACCCCGTCGCTGCCTCCTCCACCTCGCCCGCCGCCGCGTCGCAGAACGCGCAGCGCATTGGCATGTGGCTCGATGCCCTGGGGCTCTACCCGACCCGTCGCGTGTACCGCGATGTCGGCAGCTTTCACCACGCACGGCGCAGCGGCGATGACGGTGGTGATGCGAGCAGAGGGGTTACAAAAGAGGAAAGTGCGGACGAGGAGGAAGAAAAGGGCCGCAGCAACGACACGATGCGCGCGTGGGAGAAGACGCTGACGGAGCTGGCGGCGGTGAACGACGCGCACCTCACCGCGGCAGCGGACCGACACGCGCGTCGCCACGACGCTTTGGCCGCCACGCTCGACTCAACCGTCAACAGCAACAGCAGCACCGGGAGTGCAAGCACGTCGTACCTCACCACGCCGAGCTCGCCCTTTCACAAGCACTTCGAGTGGATTTTAACCTCCCCGTGCGCCAATGCGCTGCTGCACGTCTTTGCAGCCGTCTTCTGCCTGACGCCGATGGAGCTGGCGGATATGGCGCTGCGCAGCGGGATTTACCAAGGACATGCGAGCGGCTTCGTCGCGACGCTGCGCAGCGCCGTCCAGCGGGGCGCCTTCGACGTCATGCCGCTGGCGCGTCGTCTCTCGCCGGTCGCCGCCGGGTGGGTGTCGGCGTACATGGCGCTGCACTCCAGCGATCGTCTACCGCTGCTCGCCGCGCTTGTGCAGCTCAACGATGGGCAGAACTCCACGCGTGACCGCCAAGCCGCGCTGGTGCGGCTGCTGCAGAAGATCCTGCGCAAGCACCACGCCGCGCAGCTCTATCAACTAAACTACGTCCTTCGGGTCACCGACGAGGATGAGAAGCACTTTAACGGTGTTTATTTCCTCTCCAACGTGCTGTGGCAGCAGGGGCTGGCGGTATTCACGTGCTTGCGGTCGGGCCGCAAGTCCATCACGCTGAACCGCTTCGCACACACCCTGTCGCTGTGCTACATGAATACAAAAGAAAAAATTGTGTCGCGGCTGAACATGCACGTCGTGTCCCCGGTGGTGGCCGCCGTGGAGACAGAGGCCGCGCGGCTGGTGCTGGAGGTCGCCCTCGGCACGGTGGCCCGCGGCGTCAGCACGCACGGCGACCCGTGGGGGACGGTTGTGCGCTGCCTCGACAAGTGTGCGCGGGTACGGCGGCGCATGCGGGTGCCGATGCTCGCCTCCCGCCTCGACGCCCTCGCCTCCATCCGCGAGACCGTCAGCAGCGCTGCTGGCCGCCGCTTTCAGCAGCCGCCCTCTTCCCTGCGCGGCGGCGGAGGATCGATGGCGATGGGCCCCACGCTGCTCGGCTGGGGAGAAACGGAGACGCTCTTGGCGTCGGCGCCGCAGCTGGACGTGCGGCAGCTGCGACGTGACCTGCAGTGGAACTTCCTCGCCCTGCCGAACGTCTCGCTGCTGTCGGGGCTGTCAGAGAACCGTGTCGTGGCGATGTACGCCTCGCTGGTCGGTATTCTGGAGCTCATTCATAACCGCCTGTCGACCAGCACGACCGCCGCGGCAGCTCTTCTCAGCAACTGGGTCGAGGAGCTGCTCTTCGTCGAAGAGGACGAAGACGAAGACGAAATGCCCGCCGCACACGACCTTGTTGACGGCTTCGGCGGGACGTTCCCGATGGGGGGTGGGCGGTCCGGTCCCGGCTGGTCACCGCCGATGTACCGCAACAGCCGCGGTGAGACCCCGAAGCTGTCGCGCAGCCCAAAATCAAAGTTTATCGCGGTGTCCACCTCCACCAACACCACGAGCGGCAGCGCGGCGACGTCGGTCTTCGCAACGACGCACTACGCAACACACAACCGCAGTCGCAGCACGCTGACGACGACGACGACGTTTGCGCGAGAGCCGTACACGATGACGCCGCCCTCCATGGCACCCTCCCGCAGCCCGGTACTCCGAACTGTGACCACAACAGCTAGTGCTACAATGACTTCAACTCCACCTCTTTCCACTGTGCGAGCACCGCAGGGGGGTTCGAAGGGCAGCTACAACACATCGGTGTCTGCCTTTGCCTCCTCGTCTCATATTGCGGTGTCCACGCCGATTAGTCGCGTTCACGCACCACCGTTAGGAATGGGAGGCGGCCCGAGCCTTACACCGCCGCTGCAGCCATGTACATCCGGTGAGGTGAACCGCACGTCAAGCGGAGTGCACACAAACAGAAACAGTAGCGGCAGCGCGGACCTCTGGCACGGCGAAGGCGTCGATGTCGTGCAAGCTGGGCAGCTGCCCGACTTGGAGTTGTCGGCGAGTACGGCGGACGTGGAGAGACGGCTCTCGTCAGGTTCCAAGAGGGCTCCGCCACTACAGCGGCCACAGCATCGTGCCGGCCGTCGCCGCCAACGCGAGCGCGCGGACGACGGTCGGGACGAAGGAAGTAGAAATGAGACGGCGGAGGAGGACGGGAGCGATCAAGACGAGGGCAAAGACAGCAAAGTGAACCAGCAGCAGCAGCAGCTGCAAGAGCAGCAAGAGCAGGTACTACGCCTTCTCCGGCAGATGCTGCCACCGTACTGGGAAGTGTTACTGGGGCTGACGACGGACCTCGCGCTGCCGAATGCTACTGCCGGTTCTCCCCCGTCCGCAACAAACACCCGCGCCGGTGTGCGCGGCGAGTTAGTCGATGAGGAAGACGATGGAGAGAGCGAGGGAAGACAGGGTGGGGTGGGCGACGATGCACGACGCATGGCAACGCACGCCCGCGAGCGACGTCTGCGCAGACAGCAGCAACAGCATCATCACTATCCACAGAACAGTGGCAGCAGCGGCAGCGGTGGTGATCGCACGACTCGCGCTGTAGCAGCGGCAACTGCGCGATCAGGCGAAAAAGAGAGCAACGCAGCAACGACGTCAAGGGCAGCGGCAGCAATGGCGGCAGGGCTGCGCAGTGAAGTTGGGGTGGCGCACCGTCCGTTTAACCTGTTTGACGCGGAGGAGTGCCGCCGTCGGCTGCACCGCCTCTACACCTTCATCGGCGCGTATATTCAGTGCAAGCTGCAATGTCAGGAGCGGGCCGCGGCGGGCACACTGCCCAGTTTTCCTGAAGGGAAGAACGTCACGTCCCCGCCGCAGACCCGCGTCATCGGAGCATCGAGCAAGCCCTCCGCCGCAGCAGCTACAACTGGCAGCCCAATCCCATCCATTCGGGGAGCAGCGGGGGAAAAGGCAGCGGCAGGGGTGAAGGGTGATACTAATAGTATTAATGGTAATGGTCGCCGACTGCGCTCCCCGCACGTGCACCTCACGCCCCCTCCGCTGTTCAACCCGCCTGCCGGTCCTCAGCGATCACCGCCGCAGTACCGTCGGTCGTCGCCACCATTTGCATTACAGCAGCCACAGCAGCAGCAGCAGCCGTCACCGCCGCACTCACCGGAGCCACGCAACAGCACCGTCAGTGCGGCACCGCGGCCATCACGACAGAGTGGTGGCGGCGGTGGCACCTCCCCTGTTCCACTGTCTCCATCCCCCGCGGCGGCGCCTCGTAAGAGCGGGGCAGACGGGGGAAGCCCAAAGCATCAGCAGCATCGGCCGCCCGCGACGCCGCCCACGCAGCGCTCTCCCCCGCTGCAGAGCAAACGTATGCGTGGCACAGACAAGAGCGGCGGTGGTGGACGGGAGTCGCACTCGAAGGTCGGACGCGAGGAGACGGCGGCGGTGGTGGTGGCGTTGGTGGACGATGACAACTTCTCGCTGCCGCCTTCGGAAGTCACGTGGGCGAACAGCAGCAACGAGCAACAGCAGCCGTCCCGTCGCGCAACGCGGGACGGCGAGAGAGGTCGCAAAGAAACGACAGAAAGGCGTCGCCTGCGCCAGCAGCAGCAGCAGCTACGAGCAGCCTCGAGCTCCGCCACTTCCTCTGATACGGAGAGCGAAGGAGAGAAAGAGTCTTTGAGGTCGGCGGTGTCTCCGCCGCCGCCGCAGACATCGTCCCCACGCAAGCGCGTGCGGGGCGGCAGTGAAAGCGGCGCAGACGCTACGGCCTCGGACGACGTCGATGATGACGGCAACGCGGGGCTCGACGGCCCAAAAAGAGAGCAAATCGTTGACCACAGCGGTGCGGACGGCGACGCAGACGACGACGCACCGCCCCCGCCTCCGCTGCAGCAGCCGCAGACGCTGCGACGCAAGGCAAAGAAGCTCGGTCGCCGTCGTCGTCGTCAAGAACAAAGCTACCAGCACCCACCACCTCAGCAACAGCAGTCGCCTACACATGCCCATCTCGTGCCACGCAGCAGCAGCAGCAGCAGCAGCAGCACGAACACGAGCAGCAAGGAACCAAGTCGCTCACCAGATATCCGCGCGTGGCGCAACGGCAAGATATCGGGCAGCGTCTCCCCGCTGGACACGTCACCGGCGCTGCCGCCGCGGCCCAGCAACGCGGACTCCGTGGTGAAGCAAAAGCCACGCACGAGCAACCCGGCTACTCCCGCGCAAAACACAGTACCTTCCATTCGTGGTCGTTCGACCCGCGCCTCGGAAGAAACTGCCACGTCCTCTGCGTCGGATTCCGGGAGGAGTGCGGGCTACGACACGGATACAAACTAAACCTGGATCTCTGTAGCCGGCAACGGTTGGGAGGGTGTTGATGGTTGACATCTGTCGTTGCGCGGTTTTCTTTTCTTTCTGTGTTGAGTGGGTGTCGTGTAATCACAAATTCTTCCCGTTATGAAAACGAAGGCAAAGACAGCAACGGTAAAGTAATTATTTAGATCCTCAAAGCGGAATTTGCAGACCGTGCAGGACTTCCGACGGAAAGGAAGGCGAAGAGGGAGAAGGAGAGAGCGCGCGAAGAGAGTCGTAAAATGGACGGGTCTCTTCTGTAGGCGCGTACTTCCGCGTGTTTTGTTTGTTTTGTTTCTTCTCCTGTTGACGTGCCGACTTCAGAAACTGTCCAACGCAGTACACACACACACACGCACACACACACAGAGAGAGAGAGAGAGAAAGGAAAAGAAACTCTCTCAATGACGTGCGCACAACGGCGCGCCTGGAATCACTACGAAGGGTTGTTGCTTTGTTGCTGCTGTGCTGTGAATGGGCTCTCACAGGTTGTTGTTTTTTCTCTCTTCACTCCCCACTTTTCATCTCTTCTTCTCGTTATCTCTTTATTATTATCATTATTATTATTATTATTATCCCTCTCTGTGTCCTCCGCATTTTTGCACTTTATCCTTTTTCAACCGTATCTACTGACAACAGTAAACCACTCTTTCTTTATTAATTCGATACCACTCATTTGTTGTTGTTGTTGTTGTTGCGCTGTTCGTGTTCGGTCGCTGAGTCTAAGCTCTGTATTTTCCCTCTTCTTTTCACCATTAGTATTTAGTAAATTCATCTGTCTCGTGACGCGGATCGCTGCAGTTTCTCATCGGTACTGCTGAGCACGTACCACTCCGTTGTAGAGCATCGATACATACACACGCACAAAGAAGAAAAAACTCATCTTACGCAAGTAGAACTGTTTTACTGTGTTCGCTGATTTCCTTTTCTTTTTTATGATTGTACGTGTGTGCGTGTCTTGTGCGCAGGCCTCTTTCTTTCCTCGCAGCGTTGTGACTGACATTTCCCGTTCCTTTTCCTTTGCCTCCCCTCCCTCTCAAAAGAACAAACAAAAAAACCTTTTTGTGTTTCAGCGACGTAAGTATTTAGAAAGGCATTGGAGTTCGTTTCTCTTTTCTGGTTTGTTGGTTTGTTTGTGTCGCAAGTAGAAGTCGTTGTAGAGCTCCCCTTTTCATTCACACACACACACACACATCTAGCGAGGGATCTTATAGGTTTTCTCTTTCCTTTGACTTCACTTGTTCGTTTGCTAGTTTGTTGTCGTTCCAACTCGCGTCTTCTGTTTTATTTAATTACTATTACCCGCCCTTGTTTTTTCTCCTTGTTTTTTTTTTTCGTTGACAACAGTGTAGGGCACATGTTTCTTCTATTTTTTGCCGTTGTTGTTACTTAGTTCTTTTAAAACAGCACGTAATTAAAGTGTCGCGTTGACACCGCACTCAGCAGGTGTCCTTGTCGTTGTCGTCTCGTGGTATTACTGATTTTTTATTATTTTTTTTATAGCTCTTCGTTCTACATCTCATGCGTAACCACAACAGCCTGCACCTTCTTCTCCAACACTAGGTCATTGCATCCTGTTGTTATTATTATTGTAGTGTGGAAGCTCGCATCCGTACATTCACATATCTGCGCTTTCTTGTATTGGTTCCTCTCATTGTTTTTATTAATCTTATTGTCCTTATTGCGGTGTTGTCGTCCTTCGCTTGTTTGCTCTGATACACCGCACAAGGGGAAGTCGAGAACCATGTCGCATCCGATTGTGCGTGCCATGACGAACCTCGGCGGTCTGCCGAGCTACTTCCTCGGCGACGTTGCCGAGTGGATCTTCACGGACTACTTTGATGTTATGGTGTACTTCGAGGTGCTCTACGTCCTGATGGTCTTCCTCGGTCCGAAGGCGATGGAGAACCGTGAGCCATACCAGCTGAAGGCTCTCGTCGCGGTGTGGAACCTCTTTCTCTCGCTCTTCTCCTTCTGTGGCACCGTGGGTGTCGGGACGCTGTTGATCTTCTTGCTGCAAGACCGTGGTATGTACGAGACGACGTGCTGGTTTGACAAGAACTACGTGTACGACGGCGAGCTCTCCTTCTGGCTGATGGCCTTCCTGCTAAGCAAGATCCCTGAGATGGTCGACACCCTCTTTCTCGTCCTCACCAAGAAGCCGATCATCTTTCTGCACTGGTACCACCACCTCACCGTAGCGGTCTTCTGCTGGTACGCCGGTCTGTCTCTGATTCCGAGTGGGTTGTGGTTCGCCGGCATGAACTACGCCGTGCACTCCATCATGTACTTGTACTACTTCCTCTGCTCTCTCGGTTTGCGGAGGTTTATTCGGCCCGTCGCGCCTCTCATCACCGGGGCGCAGCTGCTGCAGATGGTGATCGGCACGGCCGTCGTGCTCTACACCTTCTATTACAGCTACTTCACAGAGGAGGGCTGCGGGGTGGACCGCCGCACGATTCGCATGGGGCTTGGCATGTACGGCAGCTACTTTGCGCTCTTTGCGACTCTGTTTATTCACCTCTACATGAGTAAGGGTGCAGCGAGGAAGAAGGCTGCCGCCGCAGCTATTGGGGAGGCGGGAAGGCGGAACGGCTCCGCCAAGGCGGTGAGCAACGGCCATGGTGAAGACAAGAAGAAGAAGTAAAAGTAGAACACATAGAGAGAGAGGTTATATACTCTAGTTGTGGGGAAGAGAGACGGAGATGGAATGTGGTGGTGGCGCAACGGGCGGCAACACGAACGCAAGGACGCAGGTGGAGCGCTGATGATGCTTTCTCGTTATCACGATCAAAGCTTTCTCGCTGTTTTGTTGTTGTTGTCTTTTGCGGAGCGGATCTGATTTGATCCCCCTTCTCAAGGCGGCACCGCATTTTTCTTTTCCGATCATCCCATCATACAAAGACTTGTTGCTGTCCTTCAGTCCTCGCTGTCGACCTTTGTTGGGGTTGCGGAAGAAGAGGGAAGAGAAGCCCCTCTACTGGGGCGGCTGTCAAACTCGTTGTGGTTGTTGTTTGTTGATCTCTTCCTTGTCATGGGGGGAGGAGCGCTCTATACGGATGGTCCTGTCAGCGTACAGATCGTGGGCGTTGTTGGTTTCTTTGTCGTTGTCGCGGGACACGGCTGTTTCGTTTGTATCGTAGTATCTCCATGAAGGTCGCCTCTTTTTTTCTTCTTCTTCCCTCCCACCATTTCGGTAACATAAGCTTTCCTCTTCTTAAAGTAACAGCAGATGAAAGAAACAAAAGAAAATCAGTAATTCACGTGGATGACTCTGACGAGTGATGGAGGCCTATTAAAGGTGTTTGGCAATTTTTTTGTTTTTATTATTATTGTTGTTTTCCGGTAACGCAAAAGGTGTCTTCATCGTAGCTCCATGACACCTGTTGCCGTAGACGCGATCACCGCGCTTTCAATCACGGCGGATGAACGCAACAGCGTGTTCGAACCTCCTCTTCACGTTGTTCTAAAAAAAAAAAACATACGGTTTGAATACATAAATATATATATATATATGCTGCCTTGTTACCTGTGTGCGCTGATGTCATCAGCGGTGCTGTCCGCTATCTCATTCTTCAACTTGGCACTCCTTTGTCTTCCTCACCCGAACTTTTGTGCTCATTACTGTTATTGCTGTTATTATGTCATTTAGAAGTATCTGACACGTCCGTGTTGCCTCGCGCCATCCGCATCACTTCCTCCATAACGTTCTTCCTCAGTTTTTCACCTGTCCACCCTTCTGCTTGCGTGTGTGTGCGTTTGCGATGATGACGATGATCAGCGGCTTTGTAGCGTGGGCGAAGGCGTGGATCGAAACACCTGCCAACTTTAAAGGCAGCTCGGCCCGAAACTTCCTCGACGCGGCACCGGATTACCCCTGCTACGCGGCGCTGCTGTACATCGTCGCCGTCTTCTTCCTGCCCAGCCTGATCGAGCGGCGGGGGTGGACCTTCGACATGAAGTACGGCGTCGCCGCGTGGAACCTCGCCCTCTCCGTCGTGTCAACGCTTGGGTCCTACTACTGTCTGCAGAACCTGTACGATACAATTTTTCATGAGAAGGGGTTTCACAAGACGTGCTGCGCGCAGCTCACCGTGCGGCACACGACCGCCTTCGCAAGCCACACCATCCGCAACGACTACTACGACCCCAGCGCGGACGGTGCCTTCGATGCGGCGAACATCCACCGGCACAACCCGCACATCGCGACGTACACGCATCAGCTGCTGGACAAGAACTACGACGGTCCGCGTGCCTTCTACACCGCCCTCTTTATGTACCTGAAGACGCCGGAGCTGCTCGACACGCTCTTCCTCATCCTTCAGAACAAGCCGGTCTCCTTCCTGCACTGGTACCACCACATCGTCACCGCCATCTACTGCTGGCACGCCTCGTACGTGCTGATTCCCAGTGGTATTATCTTTTCCACCATGAACTACTTCGTGCACTCCATCATGTACTTCTACTACTTCCTGGTGGTGATGGGGCTGCGCAAGACGATCCGGCCTTTTGCGCCGGTCATCACGCTGCTGCAGGTGGTGCAGATGTTCATCGGCATGTACGTGACGACGTACACCTACTTCCAGCACTGGCTCGCGCCGGAGCAGACAGGTACATGGTTCTATCTGCTTTGTGAGGCGGTGCTGACGGCGTGGAACTGCGTGGCCGTCCAAGCGAAGAGTCTCTTTTCCACCGGTGCGCTGGCCTCGAGCGTGCCGCCGTATGTGATGAGCGACCACTTCTGGGGCTGCGACAGCGACCCGACGAACATGCGCATGGGCATGATGATGTACGGCAGCTACTGCGTGCTGTTCGCCGTGCTGTTCAAGGAGCTGTACCTGGACCCGCGTGAGCACAAGAACTCGCTGGTGCTGGGCAACAAGGAGGCGAAGAAGTCGAAAGCGCAAAACGGCAAGGCGGAGGTGGTGAGCGGGAAGACGACGGAGGCGGCGCAGCCACTGAAGAAGAAGGGTTGAAACAAGGGACTGTTCACCATGACGTCATGTACAGTCTTTATTCGTTCGTTTGCCATTCTAGTCGGTTTGTGTGTGTGTGTGTCTTTCATGGCATTTGAGTATAAATCAATTCGTGTGTTCTTTTTCGTGTTTCTCGAGCTGTTTTGCCTGACAGGTCGCGTTGGCACTCATCGCTGCACATCAACCACCCTCCGCTTTTATTTATCTTTCTCTTTTTGCTGTTGTTGTTTTGTTCTGCATCTGTTGATGGGTGCGTACACGCGGTCGTTTACGTGTTTTCACTGCGGGTGTGATTCCCAGTAGTCATCGCACTCCTCTTGTCCTTCTTTGTATTGATGTGTTTTGTTCTTTCATTTTCCCATTTCATGTGTAGAGACAAAAAAAGGAGAATTTCGTTGGTGGAGGTGGTGGTGGTGGTGTTTCCCTCCATCCTGATTCTCGCCCCAATTCCTTTTATTATTATTATTGTGGTTATGGATTATTGTTGTTCTTTTGTCCTCCCGCTGGATCGAGGCAGCGACGATCTTCGCGCGTCGCCGTCTCTGATGAATTTCCGCGTACACATTCTGGTTCCTCCTACCTTTCCATTCGTTATTTTTTGTTTGTTTGTTTTGGGGGTTGTCCTTACTCGCATTAGCAATCCTATTGTTTTCTTTGCTGCGCCAACAACGTTTCGTGTGAACCTTTGTTGAGGTGCCAAACGTCTCCTCAGACTTTTTTTTCTTCTTCGTTCGTTTAGTGTGTCTGTTTATGTTTTTCCTTTTGTGGATGAGTGAGTACGGTGCCTGCAAAGTGTCAGCTCGATAGCAGAGAACGATACATTGTGGTTGATAGGTACGGCCACGTACATTTATTTATAATAATAAGAATAGTATTCGTATTATTATTGGCGCGGCTGATAGTGGAGCCGTGATTGCCGTCTGTTTCGCCTTTTTTGGAGGGAGAAAGGTGTCGTTGTCGTCAGTTTTTTATTTTTCCTCTGCCTGCTTGCTTTGTACCGTGCGATGTCAGGCTTCGTCCACACGCGCACAGAGAGAGAGAGAGAGAGATGTGATGGATGCGTGTCGTTGCCCAACCTACGTGACGGACGCATCTTTTCTTCTTAACCTTTGTCTATTGCTTGCTTCTTTTCTCTTCTTCCCTTTCATGTGATTACTACTCCTTCTTTGTTTTGGTTTTTGATCTGGTGACGAACTTACGTGTTTTCTATTATTGGTCTTTTTGTTTTGCTGGAGCTCGTCAACTTCATACTTCGTAGAGAACTGACTCAAGCGATAGCACGTGCGATTGTCGTTGTTGCTGACGTGAGTGACGTTGTTCGTCCAGGCAGTCGTCCGGGCAGAGTCCCCGCACTGCGTGTGTGTCAAGAAAAGAATACGAGGGAGAACCATCGAATACAAAACTGCTTCTGTGTTGGTGCGCCTGTCTGTGTGTGTGGGTGTGATCAATAGTTCATTTGCAAGCGTGCTCTTCCACTTTCGCCTTGCCACTCTTCCTCTTTCTTCTCTTATACAGTTAATTAAATCGACCTGACGAATCACAAAGACAGCTAACACAGACTCCCCCTCGACTCCTTCGCTATGCAATTCATCCTCAACGCGTGGAACGCTGTCAGTTCCTACCCCGCCACCTTCACGGCGGAACACGGCCGCGACTTCCTCGACTCCTACCCCGACTACCCCGTCTACAGCACCATCGTCTTCCTGCTCGTGGTGTTCTACCTGCCGGGCTACCTCGAGCGCAACAAGATCGAGCTGCGCATGAAGTACATCGTCGCCGCGTGGAACCTCTTCCTCGCCGTCGCCTCCACCTACGGGGCGTGGTACACCTTCGGCTACGCCGGATTTGTGATGCCACTGCGCAGCAGGCACAATAACGCGTGCGAATTCATTCCGATTCGCGGCAGCGACGATTTCTTGTCGCAGCGCGCCAACGCGGTGCACGAGGAGCGTGAGCGGGTGTACAAGGCGATGAACATCGTGGACAAGTGGGACTACTCCACCGAGGATGTGCACGACCTCATCACCCCGTTGTACAACGGCAAGGGTGCGTTCTGCGTGGCCATGTTTGCCTACCTGAAGACGCCGGAGCTGCTCGACACGCTCTTCCTCATCCTTCAGAACAAGCCGGTCTCCTTCCTGCACTGGTACCACCACATCGTCACCGCCATCTACGTGTGGGTCACGGCGTACCGGCCGATCCCGAGTGGCATCGCCTTCTGTGCCATGAACTACTTCGTGCACTCCATCATGTACTTCTACTACTTCCTGGTGGTGATGGGGCTGCGCAAGACGATCCGGCCTTTTGCGCCTGTCATCACGCTGCTGCAGGTGTCGCAGATGTTTTTCGGCATGTACATCACGGTGTACACATACTTCCAGCACTGGCTTGGTCCGCAGTTCGAGCACACGCTGTTCTACGCTGCCTGCGAGGTGCTGCTGAACGCCTACAACGTTGTGACGTACAACGCGAAGAGTCTCTTTTCCACCGGTGCGCTGGCCTCGAGCGTGCCAAAGTTCAACATGAGCGAAAACTTCTTGGGCTGCGACAGCGACCCGACGAACATGCGCATGGGCATGATGATGTACGGCAGCTACTGCGTGCTGTTCGCCGTGCTGTTCAAGGAGCTGTACCTGGACCCGCGTGAGCACAGGAACTCGCTGGTGCTGCAGCGCAAGCACCACGAGAAGCCGTTGGATGATGAGAGCAACAAGGAGGCGTCTTCCGCCATCAATGAGCTCCTGAACGGGTAAGCGCCACACAGCATTGAATGAGGCTCCATCTCTCTCCCTCTCTCTTTCAACGTGGTCGGGGGTTTTGTTGTTGTTTTTTTTGATCTTTATTGATAAGTAATAGTAGTAACATCGTTCCAAACAAGCCTCATTCACTCGCGACTTCGTTATTTTGCTATTATTGTTATTTATCTGTTATTTATTTGTTCTTGTAAAGCTGTTAATGAGTTTCCTCTCTCTCTCCCTAGATGATCCCGTTTCTTTTCTTGTCTTGTCAGTTCGCCACTTCTCTTTTTCTGTTTGTTTATTTTTATCGGTTGACGCTGCTGGACGTTGTCTGCGGCAGCACCGGCATCGCCCACACCCATTCACGGTGAGTTATTACCTTTTACTGTTCTCTCTCTCTCTGTCTCTGACTCTCCCTCCTAGGTGCTTGTAGTGCCGCCGTACCCGCGTGTGACCAGCTTCGCATCAACGAAAAAAAGCACACAGAATGTAATAGGAGTGCCGTGCTGGGTTCCTTCAGGATCCAATTCATTTTTTGGTTCTTTTCTTTTATTGTTAAACGGAAGTAAGAGAACACCTTGGAATCGATGCTCAAGGGGTTTTATTATTATTATTATTATTATGTCTTCATATTTCAAGGCGACGGTATACTCTGCCTGAACTAAGGCGCACGCGGAACGGATTCCACCGCTGCTTTATGTGAATAGCCACGCACGATGGGTCGTTTCCTCCAGCGCATCTGTTGGCTCCTGACGGAAGAAAAGGAAAACATTTTTATTTTCCGTATAAGCGTTCGCTAACAATCTGGTACTGTATGGTTCTATCGTACTTATTCATACTACTATTATTGTTATTATTATTTGCTCACTGATCACGTTGCTGTCCTCGCGCTCTTGTTTTTTTTTTCTCTTTCTCGCTTGAAGTGTACTGTGTACCCGACCGCGAGCTTGCAACGCACACCGCAGATTTCTGTGCCTTAATAATGTCTACAGCTACTTTTCCTCTCAATGATTTGTTTTTCAAATATGTATTTCCCCGCTCTTATGTGTCCAGTACAACCTACCCGTTTCTCTTACCACTCTTTTCCGGTGACGCTCTTCCTCTGTTCGATGTACTCTTTATGCCTCTTCATGTCTCTACATATATATATATATATATGTGTATTTATATGTAGATGTTCGTCTCTTCCTTTAATGAAGCGCTCGTCTGACATGCATCGGCCATTTTTTTTCCTTGTTTTCATGTTTTTCCCACCGTTTTTTTTTCCTGGTTTATTTGTTTTCTTCTTCTTGCGTTTAACGGCTCAAGAGGCTCGTTCTTTTAATCGTTTCGCTGGTGTTTGCGTTCGGCGCATGTACCCGCGATGCTTTGTACCTTTTCGTTTCTCCCTCCCTCCCCTCCTCCTCTTTCCGATGAGGCGGCGGCGGGAGTAAGAAAGGTTTCAATTGGCCTCAGCGGCGAAAGAAGATTGAAAGGAAAGGGAAAAAAAACTGACAGACAAAACAACGCGAATCCACATCATCAACCTTTATATATTTTTGGGTGCTGATATTTTAGAACGTCTCAGTGCGTCAGCACCACAGATGCACGTGCCGATAGCGGAGCAGCGCGAGGTCCTTTTTTCAGTTTTGTTCTATTCGACTTCGCAGCGGTTCATCGTCACGTTGTGTTGTGCGTAGAGACACGCGTGCGTGGTACTTCTCTCGCACTTGTATCGGACCCAGCGCATTACTGGCGCCTTATTTGGGGGGAGGAACGAAGACACTTCTCAACTCAAGTTCAAGTATGAAAGAGAACTGCACCTGTGCCCGTACCACAAATCAATAAATAATAATAATAATAATCTGGTTACTCCTCAATGCAAACTTCAGCTTCTTCAACTTTTTTCGGTTCCTTCTCGTCTTCCCCACCTCTCACTTCAACCTTTCTTCTTGTAAAAATAACAACCACAACAACATCCGCTGTTACTCATGAAAAGATCGTCGTACAATAATCGTTTTCTTTTCTTTTCTGCTGCTTGTTGTTGTTGGGGCATTTATTGTTCTGTGTCCGCGTCCTTCGCTGCTAACGGCAATAATGCAAACACTTCTTCACTTGTGGGAGTGGGTCAACTACTACCCCACCACCTTCACGGCGGAACACGGCCGCGACTTCCTCGACTCCTACCCCGACTACCCCGTCTACAGCACCATCGTCTTCCTGCTCGTGGTGTTCTACCTGCCGGGCTACCTCGAGCGCAACAAGATCGAGCTGCGCATGAAGTACATCGTCGCCGCGTGGAACCTCTTCCTCGCCGTCGCCTCCACCTACGGGGCGTGGTACACCTTCGGCTACGCCGGATTTGTGATGCCACTGCGCAACTGGCACAATAACGTGTGCGAATTCATTCCGATTCGCGGCAGCGACGATTTCTTGTCGCAGCGCGCCAACGCGGTGCACGAGGAGCGTGAGCGGGTGTACAAGGCGATGAACATCGTGGACAAGTGGGACTACTCCACCGAGGATGTGCACGACCTCATCACCCCGTTGTACAACGGCAAGGGTGCGTTCTGCGTGGCCATGTTTGCCTACCTGAAGACGCCGGAGCTGCTCGACACGCTCTTCCTCATCCTTCAGAACAAGCCGGTCTCCTTCCTGCACTGGTACCACCACATCGTCACCGCCATCTACGTGTGGGTCACGGCGTACCGGCCGATCCCGAGTGGCATCGCCTTCTGTGCCATGAACTACTTCGTGCACTCCATCATGTACTTCTACTACTTCCTGGTGGTGATGGGGCTGCGCAAGACGATCCGGCCTTTTGCGCCTGTCATCACGCTGCTGCAGGTGTCGCAGATGTTTTTCGGCATGTACATCACGGTGTACACATACTTCCAGCACTGGCTTGGTCCGCAGTTCGAGCACACGCTGTTCTACGCTGCCTGCGAGGTGCTGCTGAACGCCTACAACGTTGTGACGTACAACGCGAAGAGTCTCTTTTCCACCGGTGCGCTGGCCTCGAGCGTGCCAAAGTTCAACATGAGCGAAAACTTCTTGGGCTGCGACAGCGACCCGACGAACATGCGCATGGGCATGATGATGTACGGCAGCTACTGCGTGCTGTTCGCCGTGCTGTTCAAGGAGCTGTACCTGGACCCGCGTGAGCACAGGAACTCGCTGGTGCTGCAGCGCAAGCACCACGAGAAGCCGTTGGATGATGAGATGAAGCCGGATATGAAAACGGAATAAAGCAGACGAGATGTGTAGATGAAGTATCGAAAGAAGGGAAGAAAAATGGTGGCGGAGAGTGCATGTGTGTGCGCGGAGAAGATGGAGCAGGAATGGGCTGCAGAGGCGCAGCTTCACTTTTCTTTTTATTATTACTACAAGTGTTTGTTTGTGTTTATTTTTGTCATGGTGTTTGTCAACTGAATATGGGCTCGGAGCGCCGGCTGTTTTCAACGATGGTGTGTGTGTGTGTTTTGCGCTCTTGTTATTGCTGCTCCCGCCAATTTTTTTATGTTTTTTTTTGTTGTTGTTGTTGTTGAATCTTAGCACTTACGCTTCGCCCGAACTTTTTCTTGTGTCGTGTCTTTCGATCACAATTCAAAAAAAATTTCATCGTTACTGTCTTCCTCCGAGCAAACAAACAAAAAGCATGTGAATATCATTCTTCATAATAACTGCCCCCAATCCTATTGATTTTAATTGATTTGTTTATTTCATTCATGTGTTCAAGTCATCCCCGCTCTACAACGCAATTGCCGCGGCGGTGTGTGCGCGTTCTGTGCCTTCTCATTGACCTTGAGCTATGTGCATACATGCAAATGATCTGGCGCAAATCGCGTGTGCAGCAAACCATCTGTGGTTTTTTTTCTTTTAACGCTATTGTTATGAGCGCCACTAATTATGTTCTTCTCCTTTTGTTTGTTTGCCACCCCTACCGTCGGTAGATGCCACACGCGTGTGGCAAGGTGTGGCGCGTGCTTGCGTGTATGACCTCTTGTATAAATATATATATTTACATATTTATATACACGGGGAGGGGTGTCTAGTGGCGCATTAGGGTAACTTGAGAGGTTGCGGCAAGGGAAAAATAATGACGCCGCCCACCACTGTCTTCTGTGTGTTTGCTTGCTTCAAAGTGTAGCTATTTTTGTGTTATTCTCCGTGAATTGGTTTTTTTTGTTTTTCTGATTTACCTGTGTTGTCCTTCATCATCTCTCCTACGCCGCTCATCGTAGCACATTTCTACTTTCGTACAGAAGGAAAAGCAGCGGAAGGTGGACGGTCCTGTCTCTCTCGCTTACCATGTACGAAGCACCTCCTGCGTTTTCTTCTATCCTTCTCGGCTTATATCGCAACAACGCAACGCGTGTATATATTATTATTATTATTTTCGATTCTTGTTTTTTTTTTTTTTGGAAGACAATGCACACGAAAGGGAAACATAAGAAACGAAGAGAAGGATTGCTTCATGGTAGCCCCATCGCACCCGTCTTGCTGCCCCTCACACTGGATGAGAGAATCCCCCCCCCCCCCCTGAGTGGGCTCGCGAAGAGTAGTCCTCTCGTCTTCTTATTCGTCTTCTGTGATATTGCTATCGAATTTACCAAAAGGGAAAACCCGGGTTACGTCCGAAAGAAAGAAAAAAGAGTACATCTATTTTATGTGGGCACTGGCGCTTTCGTACGCAGAGGCCACTCGCGGCTTTGTTTGTTGTTGTTGTTTTGTATCAGCGTCATTGCATTCTTTCTCCGGCTAGCAGAAGTGTGGTTTGTGTTGTTGTAGTCGCTCTCCTGCCCTTTCGTGTGTGGTGCCGGTCTTTATCTTCATCTTCACACTTGAATCACTGCATCACCGCTTCTCCGTCACTTCCCCCTCTTCTTCCGGTCTCGTCTGTGATGGCTATTAAATTCCCCTGCCCCGCTTCCACACCGGACGGCCACTTCACTTCACGCCACTGTTCCATTGGATGTTGTTGTTTGTGTTTTCTACGTCTTCCTTCGTCTTCGTAGGTGTTAATCGAAACTCGGTAAAGCTCCGTTGTCGTGTGAAAGAGTGCCTCCTCTGTTTGTGTTCTCCTTTTTCGTTCTTCTTCTTTCAGTGCTCACGAAACCCATATATATATATATATATAACTCTTTCTTCGTCGCGCATCAACGCTCCTGTCCCGTGTTTTCGTAAGTCACATCGGACGGTAGCGTTCATTTTCGGGCAATCTTATATATATATATATAGTGTGTGTTGTAGTGGGGTTTTTTTTTTCTTTCCACTGAGTACCATACGCCCCCGCTCTTGCAGTGAGCCCTCCGTTGCTGTTGCTGCTGCTCTCGTGCCTCTCCTCTTCTTCTCTCCCGCCTCGGACCATCTTCGCGCCATCACCACGGTGAAGCCTTCAAGAAGAAAGAAAACGAGAAGAACCAGAAGAACACGACTCAGCTGAAACACGAATAAAAATGGAGATTCTCACGCAGCACCTGCAGGCCATGGCGGACGCCGTGGACTTCCCGCTGATGGACCGGTGGCTTGAGGACCACGTCGATGTGCCGATCGTCGCCACAGCGTTCTACCTTTTCCTCGTGCACGTCGTGCGGGATAGCTACATGAAAGGGCGCCCGGCCTACCACCTGCGTGGGCTGAACATCATGTGGAACCTCTTCCTCTCCTTCTTCTCCTTCGTCGGGGCCTACTACTGCGTGCCGCGACTCTACGAGATCGTGACGGCGCCGGTGATCAGCGGGTTGGAGCCGAGCTCGCTGCGCTACGTCGCGAACATGACCGCGGCGATGCGGCGCAACATCGTCATCCCGGACGACTTCCGCGAAGGCGTCGATGCCGTCGGCGTGCGCGGCTCGCTGGACACGTCGCTCTGCGTCTACAAAGATGACGTGTACCGCCGCAACATCTCCGGTCTGCTGTGCCTGGCCTTCATGTTCAGCAAGATCCCAGAAATGTTCGACACCGCCTTCCTCGTCTTCCAGAAGAAGCCGGTTATCTTTCTGCACTGGTACCACCACGTCACGGTGATGCTGTACTGCTGGCACGCCTGGATCTCGCCCACGAGCAGTGGGCTGTGGTTTGTGTGCATGAACTTCTCGGTGCACGCCATCATGTACTTCTACTACTTCATCGCCGCCTGCGGGTACGGCAAGCTCGTGCGCCCCTTTGCCCCCCTCATCACCTTTTTGCAGATAGCGCAGATGGTGGTCGGCTCGGCGATCGCGGTGTACGTCTACTACATGGACCAGTTCGGCGACGGCTGCGACTGCCGCTCCTCCAACGCGAAGCTGGCGCTGATGATGTACATCTCCTACTTCGTCCTCTTCAGTCAGTTCTTCCGCAACCGCTACATCAAGAAGAAGCCCAAGCCGTCGGTGCCCTCCACCATCTCGTCTGCGGCGCCCTCGCTAAGCGCCGACAAGAAGACGCAGTAAAGCCGGCCAAAGAAAGGCGCGCGCCATGACGCACAGCATATAGAGTACACGGATTGTGAAAGCGGGGGAAAGGGAATCCACGCAAGAAGAAGTAAGCACGAAAAAGCAAGGCGGACAAGATGAGACCCACACGCAAAGCAAGCAGGAGCATCAGCATCATCATCATCATCATTCGGGGAGAGGAAATCTATGACGCATTCAGCTTTGGTGCTTGTTTCCTACGGGGTATGTACAGTTCTGTCTCTCGTAACACGAAGACTCTCTTTCTGCTGTTTGTTTGTTTGTTTGTTTGTTGTTGTTGCTGTATTTTCGTTTGCTTTCCCCCGGTCCTTTCTCTCCTTTCACGCGTGAACTTTTGAGCTCCTGACCGCCGTTTGAAAACAAGATAGAGAGAGCGAGTGGACCGGAAGAAACGATGTGCGTTGTGGTGGTGGTGGTGGTGGTGGTGGACACGAGGAGGAGCAGAAAGAGAACGAGGGAGATGAGTCTTTTTTGGGGGGAGGGAGGGGGGGCAGCGGTAGTGGAACGCGAAAGAAGACGCTGGCAACATCGCACGCAAAGTAAGGAAAATTAAAAAAAAAACGCAGACTTTGTGAACGCAATAAGAAGTGCAGTGTATCGCTCTCGCCGAGGTGCGCAGACGCATCGGTCCTTGTGAATGCGTTTGCGCTCCTCCTGTGTGTTGTTGATTCTCTTTCTTCTTCTCTTTTTCCCCCTTCGTAGTGTCCATCGACCCTTCTCACATCATACCGGCCTCAACAACCTTTTTTTAGCACTTTTCTTTTATATATTCTTTGGTTTTCTTTATTTTTCTTTTCTTGGTTGTGCTTGCTCATAGCAATTAGATTCTAGCTACTATATTCACGCACTCACAGCTGCGCACATGTCATTCGGGTTTTTTGTTTTCATTCAAGAGCTGCCTGTGAGATGTGGTGAATGCGTTCTGATGTACTATTTGTTCTTTCTCTCAATAGAAAAGGAGAAGAGGAAAGGAAAAAGTGGGGGGGGGGGGCAAACCAAACCTGACATGTGTTCCGTGGCGATGGGAGACTCTTACTGCTGCGATTGGTCTTTCACGTGTTGTATGCTTCCTGCTACACGCTTGAGCAGGAAATAGTACTAATCAACAAGTAGTAAAGAACGCCGCCTTCGTTTTTTTCCTTTTCAGCTGCGGGGGTTGATGTTATTGGCACCTGTTTATTATTATTTATCTTTTTTCTCTCTTTATTAGTCTCTCGCTTTCGATGTCCTTGGGATGATGCGCCGGTGCGCGGCGGCATCGCACGTTCTTGTCGGTTTTCTTTCCTTCTCTTTTTTGTTTTTAAAAGTTGAGACACGTGAACTTGTGTGTGTGTGTGTGTGTTGTTCATGCGATCCTCTTCTTGTGTCTTCTCCTCTTCTTTGTTTTGGTTTGTTTCTGTATATGATGTGTGTTCCTTGTTAGTGGAGTTGTGGATTCGGCTTTTTTCTTTCTTTTTGCGAAAATAATTTCTCACGTTTGCGCTCATCTTCTTGTCCTATTTGTCTTGCCTGTAAAGTACCACAACGCTCAAAAGTAATAGACGTGAAAGAAGGAAAAGAAGCATATACATCTACATTTTATCGAAATCGGCAAAGCACAGCAGATGAGGGAGGATGGTGTTCGAGCGCCGTTGAACAGGTAGAGCAGCAACAACAAAAGGAAGGCAATGAAAGAAGGGAAAAGATCGATAGTCTAAGGTTTGCGGTGAAGACGGCGAGGGATCGTATAAAGGTGGCAAAAGAGCACGTCTTTACATAAAAAAAAAAGGAGATGAAACAGAAGCGCTCGAAGGGGAGGGGGCTGATGGGGGCTTTTCCCT